CTTATGATTGGATAGTCTCATTAACATGGACTGTACCCGAAAGTCCTCACTCAACCACCCCTCCGCCCCCCACACCCCCTCCTCTGTCTGGCGTTGAACACTATTAGCAGGTTTGGCGTCTCCTGGGTCTTGTCCAGGATGCACGTAGCACGTGCATTCACCACTTGGATTCAGTACCCAAGTTTGAGTTATCCTGCTTTCTAATTTAGTCGCCCATGTGTCCTCTCTGTTTTGATATGCTGCCATAAAGTTCGTTGTCTCTACTCCAGAGACCTCTTAGAAAGGTTCTTGGGTGGTGCAAATGATGTACGCTTAACTGCTGACCTAAAGGTTACCAGCCTGAGCCTACCCAGCAGCCGTTGTTGTCATTATGTGCCATCAAGTTGCCCGTGACTCATCGTGACTCTATGTATAATAGCTCTGAACCCTCCTCTATCCTGAGCCAATCTCATTGTCTTGGACATACCTACCCCCATTATCCCAGTCACTGAGTCAATCCATTTCATCCAGGATCTTTCTGTCCTGCCTTGTCCCTCCACACTTCCAAGCACGGTGTCCTTCTCCATGGACTGATGCCCAAAGTATGTGCAATGGAGGTTCAAAATGCTTGCCTCCAAGAGCATTTTGGTTTCACCCTCTCCAAGACAGATCTGTTTGTTCTCCTAGTGGTTCCTGGTATGTTCAATACTCTTCTTCAGAACCACAACTCAAGGGCATTGATTATTCTTCTGTCATCCTTAGTCATCCTTAGTCTCGCTCTCTGATGCATAGCAAGTAATTGCAAAGACCATGGCCTGGATCAGGGGCACCTTAGTCTGACACACGTGTGTGTGTGTGTGTGTGTGTGTGTGTGTGTGTGTGTGTGTGTGTGTGTATGTGTGTGTGTACGCGCGCGCGTGCGTGTACCATCGAATCAGATCTGATTGGTACAGGAGGAGATTGGCCCTCCTTCTCCAGCAGGGCATCTGGTGGACTTAACTGCACACCTCTGGGATTGCAGTGCAGCTTCTTGCCACTAGGCCACCAGAACTCCCTTAGTCTGGCAATTTTGCTCTCAGTCCTCTGGAACAGTCCCTGGCAGGAGGTTTGCCAATGCTCCAAGGTGGCTGCCCCCATGAGCTGGGGCTCTGTCCTTCCTGTAGCGGGGCCAGTGAATGCCTGTAAAAGGCAATTCTCCAGAGCTGCTCCCTGAAGCTCCATCTCACTTTCCAATCTCATTTTCCCCTTGGTTTTTGAGCATAAAACCATTTTCTAATGCATTCTGACAACAAATCTGTTGATGGCTCTTACATGTTCTTTTTCACTCTCAGGGTCATTACTGCAGTGACTAAACACTCTAAAACCTCTGAGGATGTTTGCGTGTGTGGTCTGACCAGGGAGTGTCTAACAATAGGAAATGTTTCCTGCTTTCCTCATATGCACTCATTTCCCAAGGAACAATTCTTATTAAAAAAAAATTATTGTGATTCAGGTGAAAGTTTACAGAGCAAATTAGTTTTCCATTCAACAACCCAGACCATTTTGTTTCATGACATTGTGGTCTCTAAAATGTAACAGCGCTCCTGCTTCTCCTGCCCGTAGTCCCTGTGTGTTTTTTTTTTGTTTGTTGACACGTTCTGTCTTCTGAGCTTTGTCTCTGGCAAAGGCTGCCCTTTTGGTGCCATATGGTTGATTATTTTAAGGAGTATATGTTCCTCCTCCGAGTTACTATTCACTTTCTGTTGTTAAGCTCAGAGGTGATGTGTGGAGATGAGAGTTTATTTTCAGGCTTGAAGTGTGTCTGAAGGCCTCGTCTTGGCGGGGAGTGGGATATGAGTTTTCTATCAGTCTAAATAAGACCAGGAAGACTGGCCTTTTTGATTGTGAGATGTTTCATATCTTTCTTCTACTCTACCAAGGACTCTGCTGTCAGAGTACTGGAGAACAACGATGTCAGTCTGGAGACTAAGGTGTGCCTGATCCAGGCCGTAGTCTTCGCAATTACTTGCTATGCATCAGAAATCTGGACAATGCTAGAGATGATAGAAAGATAATTGATGCCTTTGAGCTGTGGTGCTGGAGAAGAGTATTGAATATAAAATGGACTGCCAGGAGAACAAACAGGTTTATCCTAGAGAAGGAAAACCAGTCTGCTCCTTGGAGGCAAGGATTCTGAAGCTCTGACATGCTTTGGACATGTTGCAAGGAGGAACCAGGCTTTGGAGAGGGACATTATGTTTGGGAGGATGGAGGGACAATGGAAGAGATGAGATGGATTGACTGGGGTAATGGGGGTAGTAGGTATGTCACAGATGACAAGGTTGGCTCAGGATAGAGCAGGGTTCAGAGCTGTTGTACATAACATCATTATGAGTTGCAAGCGACTTGATGGCATATAACAGCAACGACCACCCTGGACTGTCTTTTATGATCAAAATCATAGCAATTGGTGGTTGTAGCACTATCTGGTTCACCTGGCCCCAGATGGCTGCCCCCATGAGGCTGGGGTTTGTGTGGTCTGTGAGTTCTTGGGACTGGTTTCCTTGTGTCTGATCTTCACTCCCTTTTGCTTCAGACAGGGATAAATCAATAGTTGCATATTAGATGAATGTTCACAGGTTTTTAAGATCTCATTCTTATTCTTTTTCCTTTGCCTATTATGTGTCTTCTAATTACTTTTGGAGACACACAGTGCATTTTTTTCCATAATATATTTTTAATATTTCGCTTTTCAAAATTACCTGAGGGTAATTAATGTTCTGAACATATATTCAGAAATTGTAGATCCTTATGCAAAGGTTCTTGGAGAAGGACATGACGCTGGGAAGGGTGTAGGGTCAGCAAAGGAGAGGAAGACCCTCGACCAGGTGGATTGACATGATGGCTGCTGCAGTGGGCTCTATTGTTTCAGGAACTGTGAAGATAGCATGGGACAGGACAGGGTTCAGCTCTGTTGTTCATAGAGTCGCTATGAGTCATACTCGAGTCAACAGCACCTAACAACATGCAAATATTCACTTGTTATTGAGTACCATTGAGTCAGAATGGACCTGTAACTGACCCTCCAGTAGGTTTTCAGAGCCAGTGGGAGGAGACTGCCCATCCTTCTCCCGCAGAGCAGCTGGTAGCCTCAAACATGTGCCTTCAGGCTTGCAGTGCAGCTTCTTGCCACTAGGCCACCAGAGCTCCTTAAAGATCCCCTACAATGTTATTTCTAACAGTCTAAGTAGAAAGAAACGAAATGTCTATCAATAAATAATCTATTAAATAAGCTGATAAACATTTTATTAATTCATAAAACATTTATAATAACATGGGCATGCTTCTAATATAATAATAAAGTGGAAAGAGCAAGATACATTATTCTTATGTCCAAAATAATTACTTTGTAAGATAACACCAAAAAAATTAAACAGGAGACAGGAGATGACCAGAAGTAACTAGGACAAAATGAGTAAGACTTTGTGACTTTTTTTTAAAGCCTCTTTCTACATTTTCCTTTTTAAAGGAAATGGAAAAAGACAAACAAAATAAAACAAAAAATCCACCAGGACAAATCCAGCTCAGTCTGGTGGCTCTGGAGCCCTGTCTGCAATCCCCCTCCACAGTTGGCAGCCGCAGGTTCTCACCCAGCTCCTTCAGGTTCCTCTCAGGTTTCTGCCCTGCCCCCTCTCTCCTGCCTTGTATGGTCCCCTCCCTCCTTTACTAACTTGATAGTAAGGAGTTGCACTGCCAACCCAAAGGTGTTGTTGTTGTTGTTGTTGTTGTTATGTGCCGTCGAGTTGCTTGCGACTCATAACGACCATATGTACAACAGCTCTGAATCTGCTCTGTCCTGTGCCAACCCAAAGGTACTTGGTTTAAATCCACTGGCTGTTCTGAGAGAGAAAGACGGGCAATCACCTCCCCTGTGATTCACAGCCTCTGAGCACTGGCTGGAGGGTCAGTTCTTTTTCAACAGCATCTCACAGCAACAATAACCCCCCTGATTCAGGTGTTCTCCTGCCTTCCCTTCTTTTCAGCCACCAGAGCTCACAGTCAATGGACCTCTCCAAGTTAAGAAAGGACCTGAGTACTTCTCCAATCTCATTCCAAAGTCACGAAATCATGGCTGTGGAGGGAGAACAGAGAGGCAACGACCCCAGCCAGTCCTGGGCTCACTCCTGACGTGAACCAGGACTTAGGCCTCAGGAGAGTGTCCAGCTGAATCACAGGCATTGGGGTCTCTTATAGAAGTCCAGTCAGCTGGAGACGCAAGAGATCCTTGGACCCACTAGTCCTCAAATTTGAGTTTAAGAATCAGTAAGGTTAAAAAAAAATCAGTAAGGTAAAAAAAAATCAGTAAGGTGCTTATGAGAAATATGTAGTCCTGATCTCAGCCCCAGAGATTATTTGAGGGGCCAGGAGTCACTTTTAAACTAGCTTCCTGAAGTATCAGGATGTGGTTGGTTCATAGCCTTATTCAGAGAAACCAGAATCTGGTCCAGGATAAAAAGGGAGGAGAAAATGGGGCGGGGGGGCACAGGGCTTTGCTGGGCACATTGACCCAGGGTGTTTCCTGTGACAGAAATGAACTTAGATCCCCTAGCCCTGCCTGGGCCCCAGTGAGGGTCCAGCAGCTTTACTCCTGTCCAGGGGTGTGACTTTGTTATCAAGTCGTTGCTACGTAGTGCCTTCTACATGTGCCCCAGTAGAACTGTGCTCCTCACATAGGGGTTTTGACAGGACATTGTTCCTAGACACCTCTGGGTGGATTCAAACCATCGCCCCTTTGTTAAACACCTGAGGGAGTGAGCATACTGGGGAGGGTCCAGTTCTCCATCTGGAACTGTTAAGGCAGCACTTGGAGGATTCAGAGCTGGCGGAGGCTCCCAGGTCATCTTGGGTGGGCAGGAGGGGAGGTTGGACTGGGGAAAGCGAGGAGCCCAGCTTTCTGGATGATGGTCTGTGATGGTGGCGTTTTATTTGTTAGTGCAAAGTTGGTTGCTGAGCTTCGCAGTAGGCCTGGCCTGGAAGGGATGCTAGACTGGAATGAAATCTGAGATGTATGGCTCTTCCTCAGGCAAGTGGTAGGAAGACATGCAGGCTTCGTCCCCTTGGGGGTCCTGGAAGGCAGCCTCCGCTTCCTCTGTGGTCTGTAAAGGCAACAGGAAGGCTTTAAAGCAAAGTACAGCGGGAGGGTATACCTTTCCTTTCCCACAGGCCTCTGACCCTGAGGGTGCAGGGACTAACAATTCTCCTCCTGGAAACAACCTCCGTCATTCCTCCACTCCCCACCCCCTTCCCCAAGCTTAAATTCACCTCCTTCCAACCCATCCACCAGCCTATCCCCACAGGCCAGGTTCTGCCTGCAGATGCGGAAATCCTGCCGGATCAGAGCCCAGACTCCAAAGAAATTATTTTAGAATCTTCTAGGCCCTGGTTTCCTGGGTGGAAAGTCCTGAGGAACTGAGATGAGGAAGGTAATAGATGCAGGCAAGCAGAGGCTGAGGGGTGGATGTGGGGAAAGTGCCCTCCCCCACTTCCCGCCATTGTCAGACACCCTGGTTTCAGGGCAGGGGGGGCCTCCTGTCTGCACCTGGTTCAGGCAGTGGATCTCTGTGTCGGGAGGGGCAGAGGGCTCGTGGCTGGCACAAGGCCCAGCGGGTTCGGAGGTTCCAGCCCTGTTGATCACAGCGTACTCTGAGGTCCAGCCATTCCCAGGCATCTGTAACAGAGACTCCATCAGAACAGCCTGTCCTTGGCAGAAGGAATATTCTGCAAGAGGAGAGGGGGTGGGTGAGCCAGCAGGACTTGGGCAGGCGGGGAGGGGAGAAGCGAAGATCACAGCTGTGGGGTCAGAGTCCCTGGTTCCAGTTCTGGCTTTGCACGGCTTGTGTCCTTGTGACCCTTGGTAATCACCTGTCCTCACTGACGCTTGTCTCCTGAGCTACAAAATGGAAATGATTTTCCTCTCTCAAGGTTAAACATGTATTTCTAGTAAGTCACTATTCAAGAAATAGGAACTCCTGGAATGATTAATTTTGTTTTGTTTTATTTTTAAGGTAAAAAATATAAAGATTTATTAGAAAGGTACATCCCCAAAGGGATGTACCTCACTCCTTGAAAGGAAATAGAGAGGAGAGGCTGATTGTTTGATTTCTTTTTATTATTGTTATGAAATTGTCCTTTAAGTGGGCATCCCTGGATGGCAAACAACTAAGGTCTTGCATCCTACCTAAAAAGTGAGTGGTTCAAACACACCCAGAGGTGCCTCGGAAGATAGGCCTGGAGGTCTGCTTCTGAAAGGGCACGGTCTTGAAAACTTGATGCAGCCGTTTATTCTGCACTCATGGGGTTACTTATCCAGAGTCAGAATCAAACTCCACCATAACTAGCAAAAGAGATTAAGAGATTCACTGAACAACAGCCCAGATAGGATTCTTAAAGGAGCGTCAGTCTGACAAGTCTCGTGTTGATAACCAAACACCAAGTCAAACACACTGCTTTGGAGTTGATTCTGACTCAAAGCAACCCCACAAGACGAGGACACTGAGGCCCAAGGATGAGAGGCAGGCAGTCTGAAGAAGGTGGGGGAGCCCGCCTCCTGATCTTCCTCCTGTATCTTCCTTCAGATCAGGAACCCAGACCTTCCTAGTCCTTGTGACTTTGTCCTGTCAGTTTCAGAGCAGAGGCCAGAGATGGCCATGGTCCCCCACAGGGGCACCTCCACAATCAGACAAGGGCACTGAAGCCCAGAGGAGGGGTCTGCAACCTGCTCCCCAGGAGAGGTTCTTCCTTGGAAAGGGACATCATGTTTGGAAAGATTCAGTGAAGGAGAGGAAGACTCCAACAAGATGAATTGACATAGTGACTGCAGCAATGGGCTCAAGTGTTTCAGAGTTTACCATGGGGTCACGCCTGTTGTTCACAGGGATACTATGAGCCATACTCGATTTCTCTAACAACGGGAAAGAAATGATGATGAAAAAAAGCTGGACAGAAGATTTCCAAGGGCAGCTCCAAAAGGTAAAGGAGTATAATGAAATTCATGAAGACCTATAGAAAACCAAAAAAGGGAAGAGCGCGCTAGGACTATTTCTTAAGCTGAAAGAATTGAAGAACAAAGTCAAGTCTCAAATTGCAATACTGAAGGATTCTATGGGCCAAATATTGAATTATACATGAAGAATTAAAAGAAGATAGAAGGAATACACAAAGTCACTGTACCAAAATTCAGAAAGTTGTACACGATCAAGAACCAATGGTACTAAAGGAAGAAGTCGAAGCTGCACTCAAGGTGCTGGCAAAAATAAGACCTCAGGAACTGATGGAATACCAACTGAAGAGTTTCCACAAACAGATTTAAGCCAAGACATGCTCACTAGTCTATTAGGTCAAGAAATTTGGAAGACAGCCATCTGGCCAACTGGCTGGAAGAGATCTGTATTTATTTCCATCCTCCTCAAAAGGTGATCCTAAGGGGAGCTCTGGTGGCCTAGTGGCAAGGAGCTGCAACTACAATCCCAGAGGCGAACAGTTCAAATCCACCAGATGCTCTGCCGGGGAAGGAGGGACAATCTCCTCCTGTACCAGTCAGATCTGATTCGACGGTACATGCACACAAAAATAATAAAATTAAAAAAAATTTTTTTAAAAAAGGTGATCCTATAGACTATCAAAATTATCAAACAGCATCATTAATACTATATGCAAGTAAAATCTTGCTGATAATGATTTAAAAAAAACAGCTGGAACAACACATTGGCAAGCAACTGCCAGAAATTCCAGCTGGATTCCGAAGAGACCACAGAACAAGGAATATATCAGATGGATCTTGGCTGAAAGCAGACAAAACCAGAAAGACATTTATTTGTGTTTTTATTGACTATGAAGGCATTTGAGTGTGTGTATCATAATAAATTATGGATAACATTGAGGAGAAAGAGAATTTGAGATGACTAGGTATTCCAGAACTGTATTCCTTAACTGTGCGCGTATGAAACCTATATGTAGACCAAGAAACAATTGAACAGAATAAGGGAACACTGAATGATTTAAAGTCAGGAAAGGTGTGCATCAGGCTTATATCCTTTGTTCATACTGATTCAATCCATATATTGAACAAATAATTTTAGAAGCTGGACTATATGAGGAAGAATGTGGCATCAGGATTGGAGAAAGACTTATCAACAACCTGCGTTATGCAGATTACACAACCTTGTTTGCAGAAAGTGAAGTCCTGAAGCACTTATTGATGAAGATAAAAGACTACAGCCTTCGATATGAGTTGCACATCAACATCAAGAAAATAAAAATCCTCTGTAAGTAGGAGAGAACAAACTAGATGAATGGGACCATCTAAGAATCAAATCCCTATGCACAACTAATAACTTCTTCAACAGAGTTAAAAAACAAAACAAAAACACAACAACCCCAGACTGGGGAAAAAATATTGGCAATAACATATCTGATAAGGGACTCATATATAAAATTTATAGAATTCTCTAGCACCGCAACAAAAAAAAAAAAAAAAGGAAACAACCCGATCAAAAAATGGGTACAGGATGTGAATAGACCTTCCACAAAAAGGGCATTCAGATGGCAAACAAACACATGAAGAACTGTTAAAAATCCCTACCTATCTGAGAGAGGTAAATAAAAATGGCTATGAGATATCATCTCACTCCAGCAACAATAGCAAAGTTCAACAGAGCAGCAAACAATAAATGCTGATGAGGTTGTAGAGAAATTGGAGCCCTTATTCATTGCTTGTGGGAGTGTAAGATGGAAGGTGGTCTGATGCTTTCTCAAAAAGTTGGAACTAGAAATACTATTTCTAGACTCAGCAATTCCACTACTGAGAGTATACCCTAAAGAAACCAGAGACGCTGCCCAAACAGATATATACACACTCATGTTTATTGCTGTGTTATTCACAACAGCAAAGAGGTAGAAGCAACCCAAGTTCTCATCATCAAATGAATGGATAGAAAAACTATGGTACATTCACAAAATGGAATACTACACAACACTTAAAATCAAAGAATTTGTAAAACATTTTATAGGTGACCCTGGAAGACAATATGCTGAGTGAAATATCTCAGTCAAAAAGGACAAATACTGTATAACACCACTGTTATAAAACAAGACTGACATGGTGGTTGGAGGAAACTAAGAGGGGACAAATAATCAACACTGCATTGGAACAGATAAAGGAAAGAATTAATTAAAAGGCATTACATGTATGACAACAGTCCAGAATAAGAGGTGTGTTTCAAAGTGGACTAGGGGAGGAGGAAGGGAGGGAGAAGAAGGAAATTGTGCAAGAATGAATATTTAAAGGAATACTTAAAAGAAAGTGAACTGGGGGTGGGGGAAAGGGAGAAGGAGGGAGGAAAATGTATAACAATGAATGAATGAAAATCTAACTTTTCTGTAAACTTTTGTTAAAATGACACTAAAAAATTTTTCATTTTTAAAATGTTAAAAAGGTTATTCATTTTATTTTAAGAAATGCTGGAAACAGGAATGACACACACAAAATAAAAATCTTCCCAACTGGACGAATAGACAATCATAAAAGATGGAGAAAAGATTAGAATTATCCAAGATTTCCTTTCACTTGAATCCACAGTCAACACCCATGGTAGCAGTACTCAAGAAATCAAATCTGCTGGCAAAGATCTCCACTAAAGTGCTAAAAAACAAGGATGTCAGTTTAAAGAGAGATGTTCCTGACCCACACATGGCATTTTTGAGTTTGCACATGTTGTTAGGAGAGGTCAGACCTTGGAGAAAGATATCATGCTCGGAAAGGTAGATGGTCAGCAGAAGAGAGGAAGACCCTCAATAAGGTGGATTGTCATGGTAACTATAATAATAGCCTCAAGTATGTCAGAGACGGGGAAAATGCTGTAAGACAGGGCATGGTTCAGATTCATCGTTCATAGGGCTGCTATGACTCAGAATTCATTTGACAGCACACAAACAACATATATGCATTTGGAGAATGAATAAGTAAGACATTCGAGCTGTGGTGTCTGTGGAGAGTATTGAACATCCCACAAACTACTAAAAGAACAAACAAAATCATCTTGGAGAAAGTACAACCAGGGTGTGCCTTCGAGGCCAGGATGGTGGAGCGTCATCTCACACACACGTTGGGCATGGTGTCAGTAGGTACCAGGCCTTGGAAAAAGAGATCATGCTTGGAAAAGTGGTAGGCTGGTAAGAGAGGGTGAATCTCAGTGAGATGTGCTGGCCATCGGCTGCAACAATAGGCTCAAAAGGCAACGACTATGAGGCTGACACAGGCAGGCAGTGTTTCCTCCTTATATAGAAGGATTGCTGTCAGTTAGAACTGATTCAACAACAACAACAACAACGGGCTCTGCCTCTGATCCTCTGGGGCACAGGAGGTCACATCCCAGAAGCCTCCTACCTTTTCCTGTCACCTCTCATGTCGTAACGGTAGGGCCAGGTGCTTTGTTGTTAGCTGCCATCAAGTGGACACTGACTCACAGTGATCCCAAGAACAGACGGAAACCTTGCACCAACCACCCTCATGATCTCTGCTACGCTCAAGCCCTTTGTTGTGTCGATACATCCCACTGAGAGCCTTCCCCCCTTTTGCTGACTCTGCTTTCCCCAGCATAATGTCTTTTCCTGAAGACTGGTGCCTCATGCCAACATGCCCAAAGTATACGGGACCAAGTCTCACCAGAGACCAAGTCTCACAATTTTTGCCTTGAATGAGCACCCTGGTTTCACATCTTTCAGCACAGATCTGTTTGTTCCTTTAGCTGTCCACGGTATGTATATTCAGTCCTCTTTGCCAATACCACAGTTCAAAGGCACCTAGGCAGCCCTTCCCGAAGAGGCAGGGCATGCAGCAGGGTGGATGGAGACATCTTTCCAGCCTCCCCTCCTCTGGAGCTGGGTGTGAGAAGCCCCATGGCCCGGAGCTCGCACTTTCACAATGCCCTCCCCCACCCTACCCCCCCTGAATTTTCCTTCACTTGCCTGCACCTTCACCTTCATAGAGCTTCCTGTGACAACAACAGCTGCTCCCAAAGCCAAGGCCAAGGCTGGGCCTCTACTCCCACCCCAAGCCCTCCCTTGGGGTGAATTAGACCCAAGTCTTTTGTCCTCACTGGCGCCAGGAAAGGAGATGGCAGCCCCCTTTCCTGCCCCCCAGATTTGAGAGAATCTGAGTGAAGGTATTTCTGAAAATAGCTGAGGGAAGAGGGACTGGGTGAGGTGGGAGGGTTGGGGGAGGCAGAGAGTTTCCTGAACTGTGATCCTGACACGTGATTACTTTTAGGAGGAGCAGGGGTAGGAGGGTTTGTCTTGCTGGGATCAATGAAGGACGTGGGAACTTGTGGCCTTAGGTGGGTTTTCCTCCCCAGAAAGATAGGAGCAGAGGCCCCCATTTTCCCAGCCTCCTGTTCCCTAAAACACCACCCTCAGTGTAGCTACCTCATGGTAGCCAAGAAAGGCCCCAAGAAAAAACATCTCTCATATTGCAGAAAAGGGAGAGATTGAGTCTGCAAATCTGAGTCCTATCTGAGACCATTGCCTGCTGTGTGATCTTGGGTGAGATTTATTTTTTCACCATCTCTGGGCCTCAGTTTCCTCTTCTGCAAAAGCAGCCTACACCGTTGTCACACTCTGCGTGGCACTATCAGAGTCTCCAGGGACAGAGTTAAAAATGCGGGCACCTGGGCTCACCTTCAGAGACTGATTTAGTCACTGGGAGCTGGAGTCAAGGGGGAGCATGTCTACACCCGGGGTGTCTTCAGATGGGGCTAGACAACTGCTGGACTAGAGGGTCTTGAAAGTCCCCCGCCCTGAGTCAAGCTCTGTGGTTCTCTGAGTGTAGAATGGGGGCAGGGAGCACGCTGGGCCTGGAGAAGGGGACGCTCATTGAACTCCTTGTACCACCCCCTCCTAAACCTTCCCACTCTGCCTGGCCTCGGGTGGGAGACCCAGGGTGGATACGGGCACTCAGTGTACCTGGGTGACATGGAGGGCCAGGTGTGAAGACGCAGAGGCAGGGCCCAGGAGTCCCGACTTCCAGGCCCAAGGGGGTCTGAGCTTGGACTTCAGCCTACCTCTTTCCTTACCAAGTGTGTGAGGTGAACCTTCTGGCTGGCTGTCTCCTGGGCCAGATGAGCTGAAAGAGACCAAACGAAAAACTCCGGAAAGTCAGGAGTAGCTGAGAGGAGTGAGTGGCAGCTGCTCCCAGAGAGAGGAGTGAGGACAGGTCGGGTAGGGAAGCCCCTTCCGGCTCAGTCTCATGGCAACGACCCAGCCTCTGTTCTCACTCATGGAGAGCCCGGCTCTGCGGGCCAGAGACTGGCTGCGGAAGGAATTCTGTGTGCCCAAGCCACACTTCTCAACATCGTTGAGATGCATACACATGGCTGTCTAGCAAATCCAACTCCCAGTGACCCTGTGGGACAGAGTGGATCTACTCTGTAGGGTTACCAAGGTTGTAATTTTTATGGAAGCAAAATACCACATAGTTTGTCCTTGGGGTGGTTGTTGGATTCAAACTGATGACCCTTCTGTTAGTACTGAGTGCTTAAAACCACTGTGCCAGTAGGACTTCCTCATCTGCACACGCAGCTAAAATGTTCATTGTCATCGAGTCGGAACTGACTCGTAGCAGGTTTTTTTGAGATTGTAAATTGCACCGGAGATTGCCCATCTTTCCCCTTAGGGCAGCTTGTGGATTCGAACACCAAGAGAGGCATAGCCTTTGGTCTAGCAGTGCAACTCCCTATAGACTGTACCACCAGAAAGCCCCCAGTCTGCACATGGGCCGGCGGACGTGCTGTCGTGTACTGTGGCCTCTTGAGGCTGCAAAGTATAGTGTGCTCTTTCCCAGGACTTCACTACCTCAGGGCAGGTCGAGAGTTCAGGCCTAAACCGGGCTCTGACTAGGATTGGAGTCACTCTCAGGCCCCTCCCTCGCCACTTTGACTAGGACACTTGCCAATTTAACAAAGTGCTTTTGCAGACATCCTTCTGAGGCCCCACTTTTGCAGCACCAGACCAACAATTTAAAAACATCTGAGCCTCAGTTTTGTACCCTGTAAAAGGGGTGTACTTTTAAGAAGTAATTCTTTTTTAAAAAGTGGTTCCTAATTCCTTCATTAATTTTAACGGGAATATGCTAACTCTATTGCTCTCATTTCAGTCAATGCTTAAGACCTGTTCTTTCCTTGATGGGATATGAGCACAGGAGGCCACTGAGCACTGGAAATGTGACCATTTGGAGGTATAAGTGTAAATTGCACCTTGAATTTAACATAGAACATGTACCATAATCAGTTTTTTCTTTTTCTTTCCTTGTTGTGTACTGTTGAATCAGATCCAACTGGCATAGGAGGAGATTGCCCGCCTTCTCCAGCAGAGCACCTGGTGAATTTGAACTGCGTGCCTTTGAGATTACAGTGCAGTTTCTTGACACTAGGCCACCAGAGCTCCCTCATAACTAGCTTTTAATTTTGACTCCATGTTAAAAGAATATTCTATATTTTTGAAAAATACCTTAGAGATTTTTAGTTAAATGAACTATATTGTTGGGTGTGTGTGTGTTTGTGTATATACATTGTCAAATTAGATCTGATTGGTGCAGGAGGAGATTGCCCCTCCTTCTCCAGCAAAGCATCTGGTGGATTCGAACAGCGTGCCTCTGGGATTGCAGTGCAGCTTCTTGCCACCATACCACCAGAGCTCCCTGAACTATATTGTTAAAATTATTTTCTCATTTTTAATATGGCTATGGGGGGGAATGTAAATTATACATGTGTCTTGCATTTTATTCTTACTGGACAGAGCTGCTTATAACATCACACACATCTGTGAACTGAGGAAAATGAGGCTCAAGTGAAATAGGTGGCTTGTCTAAGGTCAAGCAGCTAAAAAATGGCAGAGCTGGAATTTGAACCAAAGCTTATGAAAGGGGTCAAGTCCTAGGACTCTGGTGGCAGGTGTGGGCCACAATGTTCATCCTGCTGAAGCTCAGGTGTTTGGATCAGTGATTCCAGGTGAGTTACTCTAAGGGATTAATCTGCAGAGTCTAGATATAGACTCCCTGGGACTAAAAGGGACACAGTGATTTATGAGCCTGCATAGGAAGTGGAGATGCCTCTATGCTCTCCACCCCTACATTTGCTAAGCTTTTTCCTCACGCATGTTGCCCTGTGGTTCCCTCTGAAGGGAGGAGCCAGACTCCCAATGCTCATATCTTAGCTGGACACATAGACTCATAGGGAAGGTAGAGAGGAAACTGCAGGTCTCAGAGAGGGCTCTAACCGAGAGCGCCCCCACCCACCCTTGCTCACCTTCTTTCTTCCGATGACGTAGCACGCAGCTGCCAAGGACAATCATGCTCGCAGCCAACAGAAGGCCCAGCAGCACCAGGACTGGGGACAAAATGCGGATCATGGGGACAGACATCCTGGGGATGAGATGAGAGAGGCCATGTGACAGTCACCAGATAAGTCAGAAGTCATGATCTTTTGGGCCCAGGGCTGAGAAAACCAGAGAATTTCTTGACAATTTCTACACAAATTGTTTGGTGATGTTACATTTATCACAATGTGCTAGCATTCTTCTTTTTTTTTTTTTTGCTAGCATTCTTTTTAATGGTGTTCAATTTATCCTCCTTCCAAAACTCCAGTTTCCTTACCTCCCTTGTCTTACTATCTTTGCTTTTGAGCATTTGTTAAACTTTAGTTTCACACTGATGATTTTTAAGCATGGCATGGTCTTATGGATAATATCCTTTTACTTCTGTGCCTCTCTGCCATTCGTCAAATCGTGACCTCAGGGGTTAGGTTCATTCAGCTCTAAGTTTAAAGAGTTTCTTAGGATGCTAGCCTCAGGGAGTCAACTATGTCCTGTTTATATGACTTTCCCCCCTTTTAAAGGAGAATTTGAATTCTTGTCTTTATTTCTTGTCCATTCTATCCAAGACCAGCTACTGTGACCCTGAGAAAAGGGTCTGTGGTGGTACCCAGGCAGTATCTAATTCTGCTGGTCTCAGTGTAGATGAGGTTGTAACATGCTATTTCTATTTCTGAGTCCTAGTCACATCTCTTGGACCTCAAAAGGCATCCGTGACCATGACATCCAGTCAGCTTATATGTTTGCCTGTCTGGTGCGATAGTGTAGGGGATACTTTCAATGGAGACTGAACCTTCCAGGTAGTGACTGGATGTCAGAAACCAAGTGCAAATTACAACCTGAGAACCGCTGTTTCTGATTGGAAACCCCAGTTAACTGAAAATGATACTTTCTTTTTTAAAAAATTTTGGTTCCATGTTTTAGATCCCCTATTCTTGGCATAGAGCCCAGTACAAAATGTCCAGGCAAAAGTTACTGAAGTTGCTGTCCTCTGTGCCAGGGCAGGGGAGACAGACGGGGACTGCGGTTGGAGTCTCTAACTTGGTGCAAGTGGGCACCTGTGGGCTGCTGTTTACTGCAGTGTAGATAATTTACTGCTCAAGGACTCTGCTAAGTGAATGGGGCTGAATTCTAGCCTGCTCTCTTACCTGGACTTGGAGCTGCTGGTGCCCTTTGTCAAGGCAGAATCTTGCTGTGTGGCCAGACGGGAGCTCCCTGCATAAGAAGAGGTCGCTGTGTGAGGAGATGTCGCTGTGTGAAAAGAGGTCCTTTCAGGAGGAGAGGTCGGTGCACGAGCAGAGGTTCTTGTGTATAAGGTGGGTCCTGTGTGCATGGAGGTCCCTGTGTATGCAGAGGCCTCCGGCCCTGTCTTCCCCTGCTTGGCTGTGGTGACTGTCGGTTGGAGACCAGGAGAAGCTACAAGTCCAAAAGCAATGCTCAGCACCTTCCCTGGCCCTTTGCACCCCACCATCCCCAACCTCTGGCCCTTGACTCGCAAACTCTAGTCTCCCTGGGACCAATTTCTCAGAGCAGCCCCAGATGAAAAACCACCTTCTGTAAGTAAACAGAGGTCTGGAAGAGTTCAGCTTGAGTAAGATATCTATTAGGCCTAACCCACTCCCACACATAAGTTTCCACCCCTTTTTAATTTGTATAGTCTGTTCTCTGTGGATGACTATGTGGGACTGCATAACACCCCTGCTCCCACCTCGTAACCGATCCTAGTGACTTTTGTAGTTGCTTTCCTTCAATCTCTTACTAAAAACAGAACAAAGCAAATAAATCGAGCCAGTTCTGACTCCTAGGACCCTGGGATTTGAACTGCCAGAGATTGCAGCCTTTGGGTTAACAGTGCAACTGACTAGGATCAGTCCTGGCCAGTGGCTAATTGTCACCTTCTCTCTTATCAGAAGAGCAAGTCTTCAAGTTGCAATCATCACATGCCACCCCCACTATATATGCCTAGAAAGGCCTTGGTTTCCTTTACCAGATGCAAAGCAGGATGGGGTGATAGGGATGACCTTGGGGCCAGGATGTGAGCCTGGTCTTTCCTGCTTATAACATGAGCAGAGAAAGCATGTGTGTCGCCCCACTTCCTTTTTTTTTAAATTGTTCCTCCGTCCCTGAGTTCACTTCCTATGACCTAGAGTGAAGGACTTAACCACATCAGGGCTGTTCTAGCTCTGTCTTGAGATGGATGATGTGGTTCCCAGATTTGTGGGTATACCAGAGTGGTCATAAGTATACTGTGAAGCACCAGGTAGATACTCTTCACTGGCTTTTCCTATGAAGGGCTGGAGGAGGACTGAGAACCATTCACTCACTCAGTTCTCGGGGCTGAGGTTGCCAAGCTCTTGCTTTGGGCTGGAGGCTCCTTATGGCAAAAAGCTGTGAGGAGGGAGAAGGGGAGGAAGGACAACAGGGCCCTAGAGGAAAAGGAGAGGCCGGTCTTAGGGAGGCACCCCACTGCTCTCACTGCTGCTCTGAACAGCTTCCCTTCCTTGGAGGAGCCAGCAGCTTTCCTATCCCCATCTGGGCTCAGAGCACCACCAGCTTCTCCCCTTCGGCAATTCAGGAGCCATGGGTGGTGGGCTCCAGCTGAGCTGGGGTCTTTGCCCTTCTTGTCTTCTCCACAGCCTGCAGTTTAGCTCAGGCCTTCAGCTTTGGACCCCACTGCTCCCCAGCCTGCTCTTGCCATGTCATCCTTCACACACTTGATGCAAGTTTTGCCTGGAAATTGATATTGAATCTTGTCACTCCCTGATACAGAACAGCCAATGGCTCCCCAGTGCCGGTAAGAGGATGTTCACACTCTTTAACATGCCTTTTAAGGCTTTGCAAACTCAGGTATCTTCACGTTTCCCCTCATCTGGTGCTTTAGCCTTTCAGAGCTGCGCTCCCTTCCCAATGATACGAACCTCCTGCCCACCTCGGTAGCTGTAACACACCGTTCCTTTCTGAGCGATGCCTTTCCTGTTCTTCAATATCCAGCTCAGAATCCCCTTTTCCTCCCTAAAGCCCAGCACAGGGCCAGGCAACACAGTGGGCAGAAACGTGTTGTGACCAAACGCCTAGAGCCACCAAGCTCCCTCATGCTTATCTGTTACCTCCTTTGCTCATTTTGAAATTTGAGTTATATGCTACCCTGGTCTCTCTTTGTCCACCATCCTCTGTTCCAATTTATTCTCAGACTTTTAAAGCACATGATCTAAAATTCTGTAAGCCACAGTAATTCTCTTTTTCCTTTCTAATAATTATGCTACTTCATCTTTTCCTGTTTCACTGCTGAGGGCCTCCCGGCAATGCTGGATAAAAGACAGCAGAGTGGCATACTCATCTTGTTCCAGACTGCCTAAAAATCCTTGCAATATTTTTTTCCTCACTGCAGACAGCTCACGGTGGCTCATGCAGGCTGATTGTAAATTTGCAGGAATCTTGCCAGTTAGTTGCAAAGCTGGAAATTGGTCCTGGGTTTGCACCACAAAAATACTACAGCTGAGGGCTCCGAGTGAACACTGGCCAGCACACCTGGCCGTTGCTGTTGCTTGCTCCCTTCCAAACAGAAAGGCTGCATGGACCCCATGACTGGTGTCACCGTGTTCCCAGGGCATTATTAGCTGGTTTTGGAAGTATATTGCCAGACCTTTCTTCTTTCTCTTAGTCTGAAAATGCTGCTCAAATCCGTTCAGCATGCTAGCAACATGCAAGCCTCCACTGACAAATGGGTGGTGTCTGGGCATGAAATGTACCAGCCAGATGCGCATCCAGGTCTCCCTGCTGGAACCCTCAGTGCCTTCCTGCCACTACCATGAATCTGTCTCCTCCATGCTTAGCCCGATGCTGGGTCACCATAAGTTGAAACCGATTCGATGCCAGAGAATTTGAGTTTTAAATGCAGGGAAAGTGGATCGCAGATAGGCGACAAATCATGCCTACGTGATACAAATTGTTACTGTGCTTGACTTCTAACCAAAAGGTTGGAAGTTCGAGTCCACCCAGAAGGGCCTTGAGAGAAAGGCCTGGCAATCGACTTCTGGAAAACTAGCTGTTGACATCCCAGTGGAGCACGGTTCTGCCCTGAGCCATGTGCGGAAATGAGGACTGATGGAGATGAAAACTGGGAGTGCATCGCGGAGATAACAGAGAACAGGTTCAATGTGGTTTTCATGCTGCTGTGGTTATCTGATGAGTTTACATTCCTTTCCCTGAATTAGAATAAGGAGCCAGTCAGATGATGGATCTGGCTGTGGAGATGGCACCAGTTAGGAGAAAAGACTGGCTCCAAGGCCAGAAACAGCCTGTATTTGAATGATGGCACCACCACTTTCTGCCCGGAGACTGTTGGTAACATTTTGCCTCTCCTGGAGCCTCAGTCCCCTATCTATGAAATGGGGATACCAAGCCTCTTTTCACACCTAGTGTGTACCCCTCTTATGCGTCTCTGGCTTCCTTCTACTCACTTCAGCAGCCTAGCTGGTGGTCTTCACACCTAGAGAGGTGCTCCACCACCTACCTGGTCCCTATGGCTCCAGCTCCAACCCTCGTGAATCTCCCCAGCCCAACAAGCCCCCTTGTCTGATCCTCTGTGGAGGCTGGTTCCTAAGATGCTGGACGCTCTGCATTGGTATTTCAAATATAAGCAGGATCATCCTCAGTGTAACTTCCAGACTAAGGAGGGTTAAGAAGAAAGGCCTGGTTCTACTTCTGAAAATTAGCCAATGAAAACCTGATGGCTTTCAACAGAATATTGCCCAGCTTGCTTGCTTTGGACATTCCGCCAGGTGGGATCAATCACTGGAGGAGGTCTAATGTGTGGTTAGGGAGGCTTCCAGTGAGAAGGGTTGAAGCAACAGCTACAGTGGAGGATTCCGACATGTCAGCACTGCTGAGAATGACGCAGTATTCTGTTCTGTTGTGCCTCAGGTCACCACGAGTCAGAGTTGACTGGATGGTATCCATTAATTCATCTTGTAGTTGTTATGTGCCATCGAGTCGCTTGCAACTCATAGTGACCCCATGTACAACAGCCCTGAAACCTGCTCTGTCCTGTGCCAACTGTACAGTCTCTGACACACCTGCCTTCATTACCCAAGTCACTAACTCAATCCATCTCATCAAGGGTTTTCCTCTCTCTCTCTGTCTCTCCACCTTTCCTCTCCAAGGACTGGTCCCTCCTTGCAACATACCCCAACTATGTCAGATGAAGTCTCAGGATCCTTGCCTCCAAGGAGCAGCCTGGTTTTACCCTCTCTAGGATGAACCTGCTTGTTCTTCTGGCAGTCCATGGCATAGTCAGTACTCTCCTCCAGCACCACAACTCAAAGACATCAATTCACTGCCTGTCATCCCTAGTTATTGTTCAGCTCTCTGATGCATAGCAGGCAATTGTGAAGACTATGGCCTGGATCAGGCACACCTTAGTCTCCAGACTGACATAACTGTTCTTCAGTACTCTGGAGAGGTCCCTGATAGCTGACTTTCCCAATGTAATTCGTCTCTTGATTTCCTGGCTGCTGGTACCAAGAGTGTTGATGGTGGAGCCAAGCAAACTAAACCTGTGAATAATCTCAATTTCTTCACAATCTATCACAATGCTGCCAATTGGCCCGGTGGTGAGAATCTTTGTCTATTCTATATATCCTATCTTTGTCTATTCTATGTATCCTATATATCCATCCATCCATCCATCCTTATAGCTGTCTTTCCATTCATCTACTTCATCTACCCGTCTAGCCATCCAGATATCTATCTTCCTTCCATCCATCCATCCATCCATCCATCCATTTATCCATCTAGATAGCCATCATCCTTCCATCTATTCTCCATCTACCCATCCAACCATCTATTCCTTCATCCATCCATCCATGTATATTTCCATATACCCATCCATCCATCCAACCATTTACCCATCCAACCATCTATCCAGCCTTCCATATATCCATCATCTGTCCATCCATCCATCCATCCATCCACCCACCCATCCATCCAGTGATCCATCTATGTAGTCACCATTAGTTATCTACTCAGGGAAAGAGTTTAACCTTGTAGGATCTCCATCTTGCCCCCGACCCCTGGCAACCTCCCTCCGGAGGGCACTGAAGGTGGGGTCTAACTACTGATGTGGCACCACGTGCTCTAGACTGTGAGCCTCTGACTGACACAATTTCACTGAGTCTTCAAGGCACCCAGCAAGGTTGGGGTGAAACTGGGTTCACCTCTGATGCCCCAAATACCCTCTTACATTCCCCACCTCCACCTCTTCAGCCTGGGGAAGCAGAAGTATTTGTTACCTGGAAAGACGATCAGAGAAACCGCAAAAGTGTGATCGAAGCCCAGTTGTTGGATGCCACACCAGTACTTCCCTTTATCCTCCAGGGTGAGGTCCCTCAGGGTCACGGTGAATGTAAGGTCCTGGGGACTGTCTTGGATGGACACCCTGCCAGACGTCACCTCACGGCCATCTTCCCTGGAATAGATGGTGTTGGAGCAGCGGCGGATGAAGATCCCGGCACTCTTGCACCAGTATTTGAGATACTCTTTCATCTCCTCCTTGTAGGAACATTGCAAGGTCACAGTGTCGCCTTCAAACCCGCTAATCTCCTTGGGGCCTGTCAGGGCTCTTGATCCTGAAACCACAGCAGGGGTGGAGGTCTGAACCTGCTGGATCCAAGTCCTGGAGTTAAAACCAGATGCTCCCATTTACCCCCTTTTGGGGACAGCCTGTGAGCTAGAACCCCAACTTCCTCTGGGGGACCCTGGGCTGTTACTGTTTTCCTGCTCCCTGCATGTTGAAGGATAGTGGCTTCTAGATTCTGACAGACAGGACTGTCCTTCAGGAGCTGTATGACACAGGGAAGTTGCTTGACCTCTCTGGGTCTCCTTATCTATAGATGCTCTATAGATAATGATGGTATCCTATTTCCCTGAGTTTAAGATGTAAGCCATGTCATAATATTATGTACCAAATAGAAAATGCAATGCTAACGGAATAATTGACAGTTGTAAGTTGCCTTCTGCTCTGAGATATTAAAAGATCAAAAAGAAAACACAACCAGCCAACAACAGCAGAAAAAGCAAGTCTACAAAGTGAGGAAAAAATTGAGAAATGTTTGCTGAGTTTCCTGGGACATCCACGCACATCTTTCTGCCTCCTCACACTCTCTCTCATTGCTGTCAAGTTGGAGCAGACTCAGAGGTGACTCTCCAGTGGGTGTTCAGATGGCAGGAGATTGACTATCTTTTTTCCAAAAAGCAACAGGTGGGTTTGAACCTCCAGCCTTTTGGTTGGCAGTGCAACTCTTTACCCACTAGACTACCAGAGCTCCCTTATCTGTCTCCAGGCGTGGCACAAAGTAGGGAGATTAGAGAAATACAGTCACTCTCCCAGCAGACAGGAGGACAGACTGGAACCCATAGAAAAAGCTGGCATCTCGTGTGGAAGGGTCCTAAGTTCCAGAGGCAGCGAGTGAGGGGCGCTCTCTGAGGCCAAGGACAGGTTATTGTTGTTGTTAGGTGCCACTGAGTTGAGTACAACTCACAGCGACCCTGTGAACGACAGGTAAAAACTTTGCCTTATCCTGTGCCGTCCAGGGGGCAAAGTCACAGTCACTGTCACATGTGCTTTGGGGAAAGGTCGTACCAGCCCAGGAGGTCTTCTTCCCACAGCCCATGCCCATCTCACCTGGGAGCAGGAGGCAGCCCCACAGCAGAATCAGCCTCATCGTGGGCTCGGAACACCTGGCTGCAGATGCTGGGGAGTGTGACTTCTCTACCCCGCTGGCTTTAATAACTTCCTCCAGATGCAGGATGAGGAAGGAAGGGGAGGGGCCGCGTGGGATGCTCCGGAGTGCAGACCCCTGTTACTTACAACCTCACTGCTCATCTCGCTGCCCTCAGCCCCTCGAAGTACATCTTCCAGTCTCTAGACCCAAACCCTAGCTCCTTGTGGGGAACTTGACGTGTGATCCACGCATTCCAAGGATCTGTGAGGAATGTTCTTGGAGATTGTAACTTTGGATCAGAAAAAAATTCTGTCTCAGAGGTTATTTACTTCTGAAATTTGGAATCCTTGGGTGTTTGGCTGCTGAGAGGTTGGAGGTTTGAGTTCATCCAAAGGCACCTTGAAAGACAGGCCTGGTGGTCAACTCTGCAGGAGTAGAGCTCTGTGGCTTGGAATTGGCGCCATGGCAACTGGTGATGGTGACCAAAAAGCAGCTTTTCATTCTGCTGGCAGTGCCTATGGCATTGAGGTCAATGGAAATCAGACTTTATCATGTCTCCGGTTGGGTGGTCCGGTGAGCTGCATTAGCAGGTGGTGCCTCTCCGGAGCTCTGAATCCACCATAGCTCCATGAGAGAAAGATGGACAATCTTCTCACCGGCAGCCTCGGAAAACCCACCTGAGGGGCAGCTGTGAGTTGGTTCCAAGATGCCTGCACCGAGCTGATAGAGCACCTGCTAGAGCTGACTACGGTGCAGTGAGGTCAAAGGATTGGCGATTCCAGCTCCTCCAGCAGCTTCATGGGGTAAGATCTAGAGGTCTACACAGTAAAGATTAGTCTAAACAAGGAACTCATGCAATATTATTCAAAATGGGTGACCCTGGAGGACATTATGCTGAGTGAGGTATCTCAGTCACAAAGGGACAAATGCTATATGGTGCCACTGTTGTAGAATGAGGCTGACATCAGGTGGGGGTAAGACTGAGAAAAACTGGATGAAATATGTTTACGGCATTGAAGTCTATGGGGGAGAGAATAGTTTAAAAGTATTATATTTTAGGGCATTATGTTTATCGTAAGAATATGGAATGAGGGTTGCAGAGTGGATTATATTTGGGGTTGGGGGTGCGGTTGGGGGATGTGAGGGGGGATTGTGTACCAATGAGGGAGTTTTTCTTTTGCTTTTCAAGGAGAGGAGCAAACGGGAGTGGGGATGGGGGGAAGGGAGGGGGTGGGCGGGGAGAAGGGTGCAACAATGAATGAATGGAATTCCAAAATCTCTGTAGATGTTCATTGAAATGAAAAATAAATAAAATTAAAAAAAAAGATTAGTCTAGAAAATCCCATGGGGCAGTTCTACTCTGTCGATGGGATCAGTATGAGTTGGACTTGTAACAACAATAAATAAGTGTGTTTATTACTGGCTTAAGTAATTAAGATTTTTTTATGACAGATTCAATATGATTGGTTTTCCTTTAAGCATATGTATTTTTTCATACACACACACACACACACACACACACACACACACACACACAGACTATGATTCTGATAATCCCCCACTTGTCTGTTTGTTATATTGTGTTGTTTGCATGTTGCTACAATGATTAAAGGTTACAGGCTTCTATCTGGATTAATTACATTTTAACATTGTTGTTAAGTGCTGTCCAGTTGTAGGGGACTTATAGTGACCCTATGAACGAAAGACCTGTACACTTGTATAACTTTCTTCCTTTCTCCAGGTTCATAGGGTTTCCGGAGGCGAGCTCTTATGAAAGTGGATGCCACTCCTGCTTCCAAGCTTGTTTGAATCAGGAGAAAAAAAGAATCCTCGCAGCGAGGCCACTAGGGAGCTATGGTGGCCTAGTGGCAAGAAGCTGTGCTGCAATCCTGAAAGCGTGTAGTTCGAGGCCACCAGCTGCTCTGCGGGAGAAGGATGGGCAAACTCCTCCTGTGCAATTAACTGTCTCTGAAAACCCACCAGAGGGTTAGCTATGGGTCAGTTTGATTTTACAGTACACAACAACAACAGGCAACATCATACTAGAGCAAAGATTGCAATTGTCAATGGTGTAGTTTTACATGGCTCCACAGTGAACACCCATGGAAGTAGCAGTCAAGAAAGAAAAAGACATTTTACATTAGGCAAGTATTTTCTTAAATAAAACTTTTATACTGGTTTACTTACCAAGTTCGTATACATTGTTTTTCACATCAGCTCTTCCTTATTTCCTTTTTCCAACCCTCCCTCCACCCATCACATTGTGCAACCCTATGATTAACTCCATCTCTCACCACCCCTTCTTACCCCTCTGATCCCCCCACACCCCCTTGGATCCTCATACACATTTTATAATAATTATCTTATACAGTATTTATCTTTATGAGACTAAGTTAGTTCACTTAGCATAATACTCTCCAGTCCCTTCCAAGTTAGGTAGTAATTTTCAAAAGCATTGCTTCTATGTGCTGTGTAGTATTCCATGGTGTGAATGTACCACAATTTCTCAAAACATTTTGTTGTGTTTCGACATCTGGACTATTTTCATGTTCTTGTGATGGTGAGTAACCTTGCTATAACCATTGGTGTAAAAGTTTCTGTGCCTTGGTCCTCATTTTCTCAGGATATATTCCAAGCAGTGGGATAGCTGGGTCTTATGGAATTTCTGTGTTCAAATTTTTGAGGAAACATCAAACTGCCTTCCAGAGTGGTTGTACCATTTTACAACCCCACCAACAATGTGTAAGAATTCCTATCTCACCACATCCTCTCCAACATTTACTACTTGCTGTTCTGTTAAACTTTGCCACTGCTACTGGAGTGAGATGGTTTCTCATTATGGTTTTGATTCACATTTCTCTTATTGCCAGTGGTTTTGAGCATGTCTTCACGTAACTGTTGGCCATCTGAATATCTTCTTCTGTAAAAAGTCTTTCCATGTCTTTTGCCCATTTTGTAATTGTGTTATCAGGCTTTTTCTTGTGAAGGCTCTGTAGGATTCTGTAAACTTTTGATATGAGACACTTGTCTGAATTGGTATTACCTAATGTTTATTTCTCAGTCAGTAGGTTTTCTTTTCACTCTGTTGAAAAAAAAAGGTTTTGATGCTCACAGGGATTGAATCTTTATAGGGTCTCCTTAGTCAGTTTTATCCGCTCCAGATTGTGTATTTCTGGCTGTATTTGGCAGTCTCTTTATACCATAGACTAGGCTGTCTAAGTTTGATCCCAGCTTGTCTCTGATGAACTTTATGGTTGCGGGCTTTACTCCCAGGTCTCTGATCCACCCTGAGTTGATTTTTGTGTGTGGTGTGTGATGTGGATCCTATTTCAGCATTCTGTTCGTAGCAGTCCAGTTTTGCCAGCACCATTTGCTGAAGAGGTTGTCATTTCTCCAGTTGATAGGTTTTTTTCTCTTTGTTAAGTATCAGTTGGCCATAGATAGCTGGGTCCATTTCTGGATTCTCAACTCTGTTCCATTGATCTCTGTGGCATTAGGCAAATTTGTTGTCAAGGAACTCTTTAAAATACTAAAGTGCAAAGATGTTTGTTTGAAGAAAGGTGCACTTGACCCAAGCTACCGTATTTCAATGACTTCATCTGAATGTGAAAGTTGAACTATAAACAAGGAAGACCAAGGAAGAAACTGATGCTTTTGAATTGTGGTGTTGGCAAGGAGTATTGAGACTGAATATTTCACAGAATGCCAACAGAGCAAACAAAGCTATGTTGGAGGAAGTGCAGGCAGAGTGCTATGGGAAGCCAATACTAACGAATGCTATTTCAGGATGTGGGAGAGGCGTGGTACAAGCTGGAGTCCCCCCAGAGGCACTAAGGCAATCCTTAAGGGTTTACCAGATTCTTGCATTGTGTTTGCTGACCCCTCCTTCCTGAGTCAAGGGAAAGGTTTTCAGTAGAAAGAGCTTGACTTCATTTGCATTGAATTCTCTTTATGATTTGCTTCCCCTGATTCTCAATAAATGAACAGAGAGGCATGGCTTGAACTGCTAGCCCCCTGTCCTTTATGCTCTCTGTTTTATCTCATTCCTGGTTGTCTATCTCATTATTAATAATTATAAAAATACTTTACCTGCTCCTTAGAGGTAAGGACGGTGGGACTTCTAGCGTGCTTCGAGTGTGTTGTCAGGATGAGTCAGGAGCCTTTTTCTAAGGAAAAATACACCCTTCTGGGAAAGATAGAGGGTCAATGAAAGAGGAAGACCCTCAGTGGGATGGACTGACACTGTGACTGCAGCAGTGGACGTGGGCTCAGTGGGGGAGACTGTCAGGAGGGGTAAGGTTTTCATCTCTTGTTCGTAAGGTTCATGTTGCAGTTCATGTGACAGCACTTAATAGCAGCATGTGCTGGAAGGAAATGATTTCAAACACTAGCTGGAGTAAAATAACAATGCTGGACTGGTTTCAGCGGAGCTTCCACACCAAGATTGACTGTGAAGATCTGGCCATCCACTTCTCAGAAAATTAGCCACTGAAAACTTCATGGTGGCAGCGGAATACTGTTGGATCTGGTGCCAGAACCAATACTCTTTATATCAGCAGCCAAAGAATTAAAAGACAAATTGCATTGGGAAAGTCGGCTGTCAGAGACCAAAGTACTATAGAGCAATGATGTCAGTCTGGAGAATAAGGTGCACCAGTTCCAGGCCATTATCTTTGCAATTACTTGCTATGTATCAGAAAGTGGGACAATGACTAAGGATGATAGAAGAATTGATGCCTTTAAGCTGTGGTGCTGGAAAAGAGTATTGAATAGACCATGGACTGCTAGGAGAACAAACAGGTTCATCCCGAAGAGAGTGAGAGCAGACTGCTCCTTGGAGACAAGGAGTCTGAAGCTTCATCTGACATACTTTGGACATGTTGCAAGGAAGGACCAGTCCTTGGAGAGGGACATCATGCTTGGGAGGGTGGAGGGACAGTGCAAGAGAAGAAGACTTTTAATGAGATGGATTGACTCAGTGACTGGGGTAATGGGGATAG